GGGAAGTGGGTGTGGAGAGATTAATCAAAGAACTTCTATGTTTATAAGCATAACCCATGGACACAGACATTAGTATGGGGAAGATCTGGGGGTGGGGTGGATGTGGGGTGGAGGGGATCCATGGGGGAAAAAAAGGGGACATCTCTAATACTTTCAATAATAAAGATAAATTTAAAAAAAAAGTTTCTTCATTTTTAAAAATATATGTTTTTATTGATTTTAGAAAGAAAGGAAGGGAGAGAGAGAGGCACTGAATTGCTGCCCCCTGCATGCCCCCTACTGGGGACTGAGCCCGCAACCTGGGCACATGCCCTGACCGGGAATCGAACAGGTGACCCCCTGGTACATGGAATGATGCTCAACCAACTGAGCCACACTGACCAGGGCTGAAGCTTCTTCATCTGAAATCACTTCATACTACAATCATAAAAATCAATTTTACCTCATAAAGTAGTTATTTTAGTACTCAATTTTGTTTATGAGAAAAAGAAAGCACACCAGTGACTTTTCAGTTTTGAAGATCACTAACCAAATATAATTTACTTAAATTTCCTACATAGAATTTAATGTCTTATTCTCACTCCTATGGCAGTCATTAGTCAGAAGAAAATTCCTTTGGCACCAAAGCATAAGGGCCTCTCAATATTATGTTATTAAAGTATTCATATAAAAGTGGTCTTAGAAATTCCATTTAATAATGGTATTCATAATCAGTTTAGTATAATTTTAGGGTAGAAGATGAGGGCCTAGAGTAAAATAGCAAGATGGTAGTTAAGGAGCGATCACAAATATTTAAAAGCTCATTTTAATACTTCTAGTTTAAATATTTAAAATTAAAATATTTAATATTCAAAAGTTTAGTTTACATTGAAAAATAAAATTATTTAATTCATAAAAGGATTTAGTGCACTAACCCTGAAAGAGCTGAATGAATCGAGGATGCAAGGCCGAGGTGATCACACTCTCAGGCAGCTCCCTCAGGAAGAGCTTCAACAGACTGGCTGCTGAGCAGACGTCGCCATCTCTCCCCAGCTCCACGGGCACTCCGCTCTCAAACTTCAGTCGGAGTTGTTCCACCACCTTCATATTGCCATTCACCCTGAAAAGGCCTTCCTGGGTGAGTCCTGGAACAGTAAGGCAGATGCATAGAAAATAAACAGAGGTCTCTCACAGATACAAACTCTGAAGAGCAAAACAACAAAAATAAATCTCAGGGCAGGATTCTCTGAATACTATAATAACCAAGTATTGGAATATTTTCACATTTTGTAAAAATGTTTTCTTAATATAATAAATCTCATGTCTACAACATACCAACACAAAGATCAGATATAATTGTTATAAAAGCTGGCCTCTAAAAATAAGGTTAGGACATATATAACCATAGAACATATACCATTCTATAAAGAAACTTCATTCGTATAATCTTATACAGTACATAACAGAAACTTATCCTGGGCTCCAATTGCAGCTTAGCATATTGAGAACAACTATTAAAAAAAATAGCATGTATGTAAGAAACTTAACTATATGTGATTACCACTGTAATAATTTAATTAAGAAATAATATTTCTTTAGCAATCACTAAATTCAAAGTATAAGACTCTATGAGACTACAAAGTAGTATAAGACAAGATCCTTGCCTTCATCTAACTGATGGGGGATATTAGTCTTTGCTGGGGTCAAAACAAGGCTTCGTGGAGGAACCTTTGGCTCCTTGGCATAATTTTTGGCTAAAACATAGGCAAGATGGAAGATCTGGGGCTGATGTATGTGAAGCTAATGCAGTTTAAGCTTCAGGGCCCCTCATTTGCTTGGGTCCTTTCTAATGCTCTGTCCCTAATTTTTAATTTTGTCTTTTTCCTAAGAGAGCACCCAATTGATTAAGCAACAGGACCCACAAAACCTTGATCTATCCCTGACAAGGGGAACAAATATATGAATTAAGAAGCAGAGACAGGGCCGCATAAAGAAAGGTAGGCAGACCTCGCCGGTTTGGCTCAGTGGTTAGAGCATCGGCCTGCGCACTCAAGGGTTCTGGGTTTGATTCCGGCCAAGGGCATGTACCTCGGTTGCAGGCTTGATCCCAGCCCCAGTCGGGGTGCGTGCGGGAGGCAACCAATCGATGTGTCTCTCTCACATGGATGTTTCTCTCTCTCTCCCTTGCACTTTCTCTGAAAAGCAATGGAAAAACTATCCTTGGGTAAGGATTCAAAATAAAAGAAAGGTAGGCAGATGAAAATGTGGTGTTTAGGTCAAAGAGTGAAGAGGCAATAAATGGAAGAAATGGGAGGGGCCATGAATGCCAAGTCAGACTGCAGACTTTATCACTGGGATACTTTATCAAGTGGGTGAGGTGGGGTGGGGGAGTGGGAGGGGCACACAATATAATCAAGGTTTCAGAAAGACCACCTAACCAACACCGAGCCAATGCAGAGGGCAGAGAACTTGCCTTCCCGAGACCACATTCTACTGTAAGGCAATCAGACGGAGCTTAAAAGGAGAGAATAAAGGTGATCTGGTAACAGTACGAAAGGGAAGAAAGGAAGAGGAAGGGTTGAAAGATAACTTTCAGTTTGAAAACCAGAAATCCAGGAAAAAAAGCACCGTAGAGAATAAGGTGAAGTGGGGGTGAGGGGTGGTAGTAGCCTAGGGTAGAAGGTAATGATCTTCAGCTCAGTGTGCTGGGTTCGAGGAGACGATACACCATGTAAGCAAGGGAGCCGGACCATGAAGGAACGTCAGAGGCGTCACACACAGTCTTTCTAAGAAAGAGTAGCCCCAGAGCTCGACTTGCCACTCTTCTTTTGAGAACCTAATGTGAACTTTAGCAATGATATAGCATTGAAGCCTATAAGTATTTAGATGGAAGATATTGGTTTATATTAGCCCTTGTTTCTTTTTCTTTCCTGCTAATTGACTTGCTCTTTCTAAAGAAAATGGAGGCTAAGTTCTTTATAATTTGATAAGGGATTTTATGAACCCTTTAATTCAACAAATATCTAATGAGTACCTGGCACTAGGTTAAGTACTAAAGAAATCAACCGTGAGAAAGAAAAAAATTCGAACACTACCATTATCCACATGGAGTTTGTAGTCTGGTAAGATGTTTATGTTGTTCTATATATATATATATAATTTGGCTATAAAGAACGTGAATATCAAAAGTTGACATGAATTTTAGCTCCAGTTTTGACAAAACTTTGTGAAACTAGAGATAATATTAAAAATATTTAACAGCTAGTATGGCCAGGGCACCATGTAATCAGAGGAGATGCCAGTCACTGTGTGTGGCAGGGAGCTTCTCAAACGGCCCCAATGATCTCCACCACTTGGTATCCACATCCATGTGTAATCCCCTCTCTTTAAGTGTGGGCTGGACAGAGTAACTTGCTCGTAACAAACACAGTGCAGCAAAGCAATGTGATTAGGTTCTAATCTCATTTCTGAAATTAGGTTATAAAAGACTTGTGGTGTCCATCTTGCTTGCTTGTGTTCTAGTTCCCTCTCTCTCTCTCTTTCTGGTTCTTCTTACTTGCTCACTCTGATGAATCAGCTGTTATTTGTTAGCTACCTTATGGAGATGTCCATGTGGCAAGGAACTGAGGGCAGTTTCTGGACAATGGCCAGCGAGGAACTGAAAAACTCACGGCAAAAACTCACCAAGGAACGGAGTCCTGCCAATAGCCATGTGAATGAGCTTGGAAGTGAACCTTTTCCCAGTCAAGTCCTGATATGACTACAGCTTCAGCCAACACCATGGCTGCAGCCTTGTAAGAGACCCTAAGATAGAAGACACAACTAAGCTGTGCTGGGATTCCTGACCCACAGAAACTGTGAGGTAATAAACACTGTTGTTTTAATCTGCTGCTTTGGGGTAACCTGTCATGCAGTAACAGATAACTAATATGACATACCATTCCCTTTAATACTGCAGAATATCAGTTACTATTGGAAGACTTTGGCATAGTCATTTTTAAAGCTTTCAAGGTCTGTTTCCTCTACTCCACAAAGCTTCATCTGTAACATCAGAAATGTACACTAGCATCAAGCAGATAGCAGCCAATAAAAGAGAATCCCCTTCCTGGGCAAGGCCCAAATCGTGAACATTTAGAATTCTGCATCATAGTCCTGTATCTACCCAGCTCCTGAGCCTATTTTTGGCCCAGCAAATGGCCCCTGGATCAGATTTCACCGTGTTTTTCGAGCTTTAACCTTAGGCTTTCTCTTCCAACAAGGTTTTGTGACCCTTCCCTCAAATAAATATACTTCCAGTTATTCCAAAATAACCAGCCAGCTCCAAGGACTGGCATTGGTTTTCAAGGTTCCTGATCCCACTGGGAGTTACTAGTGGAGAGAAATTATAAATGGAAGCAATCAAAGTTAATGCTTCTCAACCATTTTTTTTCTGCCTCCATTCCATTTATTTGCACAACTCTTCTCTCAATAACATCTCTCACCCAAACAACTCTTATGATACTTAGTGATTTTCAACCAGGGAAGTTTACCCCTGGCCTTGGCTATATTTATACTCTGCGGGGGGGAAAAATCAATACAGTTTTCTAATGCCCCTTATGAACTTATATCTACTACCCATATAAGGCTTACCAGACTATCTAATCTTTAAATTTTCCCACTCTAAATTTTCAGGAAAAGATGATTATAATAGAAATGTTCAGAAGGAGGAGGTATCTAGAAGGCTTAGTGGCATTATTCACATACATTTCTGAAATTCTGTGATACTTGATTTCAGGAGATACGGGTTAATCATCGTGACATGTCAACTTCATAATGGTTAGAAATGAAAGGCTTATATAAACTAATTAACATCTACACCATTGACAGCTAATTTTTTGTATAATTGAAATATTTATTTCAAAATAATGTGAATACACCATCAGAAACTAAATATGCCATAGAATAGACTGACGAACCTCAGAGGGAAGAGGGGAGGGGAGGTGGGAAGAGGGGAGGAGAGGCAGGAAGAGATTAACCAAAGAATTTATATGCATAACCCAGGGACTGACAGTAACTAGTGCAGTAGGCCTGGGGATGCGGGGGAGGGTACAAGGTGGAGGGGGTCAGTGGGGGGAAAAAGGGGATATATGTAATACTTTCAACAATAAAGATTTAAAAAACAACAACACAAAAAACTAAATATCCCAGAAGTTGGAATTTGTCTATTTGGAACACTGGCCCAGAAAGCAGTATAACAGTATGTAAGCATGTTCTGACATCTGGTGGTGAGTGCAGAATCCTACACTATTAAAAACAGCATATCATACAGCGTGTCCATGTTAAAGTAAGAGAAAGAATCCAGTCACATTGTCAGCAAGACTGTTATTTTAAAATAGCCTAAAGATAATATGCCTCATAACTTAAAGAAAAAGAAAAATGTATTTTTTATTTAAAAAGAAAAAGTCCAAAGTCTGTTTGATATAAGGCTTAATAACCCCTTTCTGTCCTAAAATTCCTTTATAGTAAGAGTTGCCCTCATGTCAAGTTGTTAAATGTCTGTATTTAAACAAAGCATGACCACAGTATCTACCTATGGCTAAATTATAATGACTAATCATCCCTATATCCCACACCTGAGAGAGTGCCTACTCACAGGTGCACAGTAAATACTTGCTGACTTGAAAAAAGCTACAAAATAACTAAATAAAACTAATGGAAGTATCTTGCCCTCAAATTTATACTACCCTTCAAACTTACACAGGCTCTTCGGTTTAGTAACATGATAGTTTCAAAGACAATAAGGAGCTTCTGGTTGTCTAAACAGTAATTAACCACATTGCCTTTCAAAATATTGGGTAGAGGCCCTCCCCTAGCTTGCGCAGTCAAGATTCTGACCGAGCAGCTCTGCAGTACTGGCCATGAATGGTGCTCTGAAAAGACTCCACTAGTGATTCTGCTTCACGTCTCTAGTTAAGAATGACTGATTTCTCCCACTAGAACATTTAGTTTGAATTACCTGGATATACGCTATTCGAAAGTAAGTAAGGATATGCTAAGGAGAAGTAGAAGAAAACCAATCTCTAATTCAAATTTTACCAAAATTTTCATATATTAATGATATCAATATAAACTGGTTCAACTCCTACAGAGTTAATTATAAATGTACATATCCTTTGATTCAGCAGTCCACTTCCAGAAAGTTAGTCTACAAATTACTCATTGTGCTTGAAATAACACATGTGAAAAAAAGAATAAAGCACATTGTTAAGTTGAAAAATATAAAATAAAGTGCAAGTGTAAAGAAATTTCCATACACACAAAAAAATTTTTTAAAAGTCACTGAATCTTTGTTTGTAGACAGCAAAAGACTGGCAAGGATCAGTGCCCATCAGTATGTGAATGCTGAAAGGAATGATACATATAGTAGAACAGTGTGCAGGGGGTCGTGGGTGGGATTAAATGAATACAGCTCTTTACGCAATATGAAACAATCTCCAAAATATATTGCTAAATTAAAAAAAAATTCATAAGGGTGTGCATGGTATGCTATATTTATGCAAAATGGAAAAAAGAAGGGGCTTATATCATCAAATATATTTGCCATAACATATCAGAAACTAGTATAGTTTCTTGGAGGGGAATATTGTTTCTGGGAGGGAAAATGAATGACCAGGATTGAGGATTTGGTAGGAGAGACTTTTCACGGTATATCTTCCCGTATTTTGAACCATATAAGTATATTAACTATTCGATAATTTTTTAAAAATTAAAAATGTAATATGATTTTACATAAACCTAACCTTAAGAGGCTATTATTCAATCACTGTTAGGTAAAAGATCAGAACACCGATTATGCCAAAACCAAAATATTTTAGGTGGTCACACTTTGGCATCCAAATGAATAATACAGAACCCTGTTTAACAGATTAAATGAATTACCTGGAGATCCATTTGTATCTAAATCAGTAGGATACAGTTTTACTCAATACTGAGTGTGTGAATGAGTTCTGTCAAAGCTCTTAGTAACATCTGATCTCAGTAACATTCAAGTCTTGTTGGTTAAGGTCCCATCTTCCTGCCATGTTGTGTATAAAACTTTCATGTTTAACTTTTTAAAGGACTTAAATCCAGAGCTGTTCTGTAAGAATCTCGCCCTTATGCAGCGTATCTCCCCCTAAAAATAAGGAGGTAACTCCTACAGGGTAAAAATACAAGACTGGCTCTTTAGTTTTCGGAACAAAGTATCATTCCGTCATCTATATACATAGGAACTACCAGAGCAAATAGCTGTTTTTCAATTAACACAAAACACCTGGGCTTCTGAGGTCTGAACTGTCCCTGTCACAAGCTGATCCATGTTATTACAGAACAAATGCATCGCGCATCTCAAGCACTTCCAGTGAAGGATTCTTCTTGGCAGGGGGAATGGGCTTGTAACCCTGGGAAGATAAGGGGCTGAAGCAAACTGCACAAAGTACAGAAAATCTTTGAAGTCTCAAGTTTAACCTTTAAAACTCACCACAAATTTTATATTCTATTCTGCAATTAGTCTTGTTTTAGTGTAGAAAGGCTGTTTCAGTATGGAAAATGATGAAAATTCAAGTTTTCCCTCCGAATATTTCCCTCCCATATCTTCTATAGTATATTGATATTTATTATATAGTTTGCCGTTCTCCTATCATTCTACCCTAGTTTGAAGGCATGAATATAGCCTGGCCAGTGTGGCTCAGTAGTTGAGCATCGACCTATGACCCAGGAGATCGAGGTTCAATTCCCGGTCAGGGCACATACCTGGGTTGTGGGGCTCGATCCCCAGTGGGGGGCATGTGGAGGAGGCAGCGGATCAATGACTCTCTCATCACTGTTTCTATCTCTCTCTCTCCCTCCCCCTTCCTCTCTCTGAAATCAACAGATACATTAAAAGAGAGAAAGAACAAGCATGAATACAGGAGATATGAAATCATTTTCTCAAATTATCCAGGTTTTAAGTAAAATTATAAAAAAACCTGAAAGGCACCATAACTCTCAATAATGAAGAGAGATATAATTTATATTTTTATCATGCAATGTATTATGTTACTCTTCAATGGTTTTAAATGCTGAATTTTATCACTCTAAAAGTGAATGATCCCCCCCCATAGTAGGCTATACATCATACTTTTTTGGTATCTCCACTGAGCTTATAAAGGCAAAGCATTCAATAAATTCATGATTGACCTCAGCTGACAGAACCCAAAAAGTATTCTCTATTACTTTAAAAATTATTGACTATCAATTGAAATGTAATGAATCAAGAGAACTCACTATTAACATTAGAACTGTGTATTTTAGCACTTAAAACTAGAAATCATTCCAAATTAGAAACCTCAATAGCTAAAGTGATTGTTCCATGGTAAACTCATTAGTATTGTCAAAATAACGCTAAGTAGTAATAATGCTCTCAGTGTCCTTTTTAAAGGGAAAAGTATATTACACAATAACTTGATATTCTAATTAAGGTGTTTTAGGAAATATTCTAATCATATGAAGTAATTCACTTAAAAAAACCCACACCCTTCTTTTTGCATGTGAGAACTGTGAAAACAACAGATAAAACAAGACTTCACTTACCATTCTTTGTCAAGTACTCCACTATAGTCCCCACGACGGCCGGAACGCCGTTCTCAGTGAGTCCCTGCTGCTGAAGGTCTTGGAGGCTGACACCGAATAACTTCTTATAGGTAGAAGAATTCCTCTGCTCGCTTAGTGGCACCGCCACTATCTTTTTCATGTCTTCTTTCAGCCGAACTGTAGCTTTACTTTGCTTAAAAGGGCGTAAGAAAAAGGAGCAGTCAGTCATATTTACCACAGGAGGTTGCATGGTTACGATAGCAACGCCTGAGCTGGAACGGGCTTGAAAACATACAGTCTCCACTGACTTTCACTCTAACATCTCCCACGTGTTGCTCGGTGTTACGAACGGCACGATGGATATTGTGGTTAAAAGGAGTGAAAAATAACAAGAAACCTAAAGCCACAACGTCACTGTAGCTAAGGGAGGGAGCAACACACTGCAGTATCTAAGACATATTACTCCAGTAACCAAGGGGTGTGGCTCAGGAGTACCTGGTCAAAGGAAAATAGAACATGTATACGAACACTGAAACTTCAGGCGGCAATAGGAGGTTTCCAAAGATAAAAATTTATCTAGATGTCATTTTAAGGTAGCTTTAATTTGAAATGTTAGAGAATATATATCATGTATGTACACAGATAAAGAAATAAATGTGGAGTAAACATTTATTTCTCTGATTTGATTACATCTGTGAATATCTCAGCAATATTTTAAGGCACATAAAGACAACTCAATTCTGTTTGAGGTTCAAAATGCCGTATCTCTGAAACAGCATCATTTGAGGTCGTCACCGAAAAGAAAGATGGAAAAATGCAAACAATTTTATATTTGGGGACAGAGAGAGCAGATTGGAGGAAACTCACTTTTTAAGAATGAATGTAGCGACTAACCAAAGTATTATAAGTGCAAGCTCATGTAGCTGTTACAATCTAAAAGAAGAAATATTACTTCCATTTTAGAGTTGAGGAAACAAAGGTCAGAGTGTTATGTAATTTGGTAAAAGTCACAGAACTAGTAAGAGTTTCGTCCTATTCTAAGCCCGTTTTCCTCTTCCTGATTTAGATTTATATTAATGTTATAGGGCAGCGTGTGTATAATTATAGTAAAAACTATGGTAAATGTTACATGTGACCCAAGACAATTACACAAAATTAATTCTACAATCCTGATTTTGAGTTGGATCCCTGTAATCTCAATTTCATTTTGAATCTTATAATCTGCAGAATCAGAACAACTTTCCTTGAAATATCTGCATCTTTTACTAGGTCATATTTGAAAGCCAGATTTCCCTAGTGATAATTCAACAAATGTAAAGCTACAATATAAATTTAGTATCTATTAATATTATAAATATGGGATAGTGTTAGCTACTATAGAACAGTGATAGAAGCAAGAACTATGAACTCAATTATCAAGGAAATTATGAATTAATTAAGCCAAATTTGGAACAGCCAATATTTTTTTGGGGGGTTAAAAATATATCAGTCTCCTTCAACTGAACACATGGGAAATTTCAACCAGGTATATCTGGTGAGTAAGCAGCCAAAAAGTAACCAGTACTAATGAAACTATGACTATTAGTCTCAAATGTAGCATTAAAAACAGCTGATAATGAGATTAAGTTATACAAATTTTATCTTACTTTTATTTAGCATAGTGGTTTAGAGCAGGGCTGGGAAATCATTTGGTTAGGCCCTGCCAAGGCAACCACAGGTGGGACTCGAAAATCAGTAAGTCTAGGAGCTTTTTTCATAGCTAATTTTTAAGTTGATAATTTTGTATGGCCTTTGAATGATATTATAAATATCCAAATGGCCTTTGGCAGAAAAAAAAGTTCCCCACCCCTGGCTGAGAGCATGGGCTGTGGAACCAGGCTCCCTGTTTCTGATGCTATTCTCATCTAACTATCCGTGAACCTTAAATCACTCACTTAACCTCTGTGTGCCTGCTTTCCATGAAATGGGGATACGAAAAGTCCCTATCTCAAAGAATATATGAGGCTGAAATGAGTTCATATACATAAAGGACTGAGGACAGTGCCTGGCACACTCAGTAAGTAATGATTGCTATAATCATCATCATCAGCCTCTTCCTTCAGAAAAATATCCTGAGTTCTTCTTAAAAGTATATGGAGACGCTTACCCATTCCTACACTCAATGCTTGTGTAGACTGAAGGCTGCTGTTCAAGAAGGCGTCATGGTTGAGACGTGTTTGGTTAGAATTCAGTCTGATGACCTACTTATTCTCTCGCTCTCTATATTTTTATCTCCGCCCAAGGATGTTTTTTTTATTGATTTTATTGATTTTAGAGAGAGAGGAAGAGGGAAAGAGAGAAATATTGATGTGAGAGAAACATCGATGGGTTGCCGCGGATACCTGCTCCGACCAGGATGGAAGCCCCTGCCTAGGAATGTGCCCTGACGAGAGTCAGACCTGCTACCTTTTGGAGGACGGGGTGACGTCCAACCAACCGAACTACCTGGCCAGGCCTCTCTCTACCCCTTTAAATCTCCTAAATACATAAGTATGATTTCTGAATAATAAGGATAAAATCATTTTGTATATAAGTATCAGAATTCCTCAAGTTTTTATTAGGATTTCTAGACGTTTCCTTAGAAATCCTGTCTATATTTGAGTTGAAAACCTCGGATGAGCCCTGGCTGGTTTGGCTCAGTGGTTAGAGCGTCGGCCTGCAGACTGAGGGGGTCCTGGGTTCAATTCTGACCAAGGGCATTAAAGACCAAACAAAACCCCCCAAAATCTTGAATGAATGTTCTATTAATAGCCCCTGCTCTTCACTCTCTTAGTCAGAACTGCAGATAGCAAATTGTGTCTCCTGTTAACAGACAGTGTAAATAAGCAATCTTGGCATTATGGCTTAGAAAGTTTTCAAGTAAGAGACATGCAATTAAGCTCACACGTTTTGAAGTGATTGCAAATTAACTACCTATTTACTTAATATTGAGCCATACCACATAGCACATTTATATGTAATCATAGTAATAAAGGAACATCTAATTATTGTTTTTAATTAGTAACCTGACTCAAATTGACACTTTTTAAAAAGTAAATATTGTTTAAAAACAACCACAATGAAACAAAACAGCTATAAACAAAACAGAAACATCTGAATTGATTCCTCAGTGTTCAAAACTACATATTATAAAGTTTTGCTCATCTAGCCCAGTTGGTGAAGGAGTCTGCTAATAGATAGTAAGGCATTACTAGCAGTTTATACCTAAAGTACTGTATTACGTCAGTAGTTCATACCTAAAGTATTAAACGATATATATATATATAACACCTCAAAATATAAAATAACATTTCTGATAATACCCATAGTTCCTTAATCATGAAAAAAATAACTGGAAATGAAGTCATTTATGATTAATTCCACTTAAGCTGAAATTATTTTCTACTCTTATAAAATGATCACATCACTACCTCTTTATAAATATCAGTGCCTATGGAAATTTAGCTTCTCAAATATACATCTTACCTTTCTTAACATAAGCTAAAAAATAACAATAGTTGCTCACTGAGGTATTCTGAGTTAAACTTAATGGCTTAGACTTTGGTTTGCATATATTCCCATACATCACTTGATTTTGAAAGCTGATCTACATGGGGTGTGTTTGTACATGTTTAAAAGCAATATAGGCTCCCCCATTAAGAAAGACACACAGGGCACCTTACGGTTTTACTACTAGAACGATCCTTAGGGGCCATTTAACACTTACACTTAAAGGGAGGTTTAAAAGAAATTAAAATCCCCCCAGGAACAAGGAAACAAAAACCCCAAAAGTTGTGATAAACTCAGTGAGAAAGGGCTGGGCCTAGAGCCCATCTCTCTGAATTTTATACCAATATTAATTTCTATAAGTGCTGGTGACCTTGTTTTTTGCCTTTGTTTTTGATTTAAAAAATCATTTAGATAGCTCAGAATATGCATGCGCTAGGACTGTACAAATATTTGTTGGTTTGGGACCACCTAGTCTCCCAAGTCACCTTTTTTCTAGTAATAAACCCTGACTACTTTGGGGGATTGACTTCGCCCCTGCCATGAACAGCCTGATGAGACTGCCACTCAAAACGACCATCCTGCCTTTAGGAAGAGTTGGGCTCAGGTCCCCACAGGGTCAATCAGACCCTTTCTCCCTTAGGCCACTGAATCTTGCATGGTCTTTCACAAGGACAGAAAATTGGTTGGAACTAACTGATTCCAGCTGCACTGCTCCCAGGATGGTCAGATGAACTAACCATCAGATTAAATCTCACCACCTGCATCACTGGTGTTGCAATGGTCCGTTAGCTGCCCTTTCTGACCCTGGTCCCTCAGCTGTTCCTTCTGTGTGGTAATCCACTCCGTACCTTTCCAGGAAAGTTTCTCTGGCCTTCAGTTAGCTAGAATCTATTTCTGTTCTGTAATACACACCACACACACACCCCTCCAATTGATAAAAGTACTTTTTAAGAAATAAAGAGTAATCAAGCAAATAAAAAAACCACAGTTTTAGAAAAAAGAAAAATCAGAATAATGATGGCTGACTTTCATGGAGTGTTTTCTGACTACATCATTCATGGCTTCATATACTTCAGATGGCTTCACTCATTAAATCCTAGTTAAAAATCACTAGGAAGGGAAGAGACTTTTGTGATTCTCATTTGACAGGTATGGAGGAGCCTAGTAATGTGCTCCAGGTTGCATCAAGGTTGTAGTGTAGTCAGGAGTCACACTCAGGCAATCTGAGGGCAGAGGCCCAGTGCTCAAAGCTGTCTCTACGTAGGAAGGGGAGAGAATCAAAAACTACTTGCTGGGGAGTACAGCACACTTGCTAGAAATGAGAAAATTCTTAGTCTCATAGCAAAGGAAAAGATTATTTCCATGTTTCTTGGTCTCCTTAAAATAAAGTAAGATATGCTCAGCAGCAGCAGCAGCAGCAGCAAGATTTGTGATATTAGAACCTGACTAGAAAATACTGTTATCAATCTAGTAAACAGGATGAGTTTTAGCAGCATGGAAGTTTTATAACAGCTAACTTTTATTGAGTGCTGATTTGTGCCAGACTCTGTTGCAAGTGCTTTAAAATTAACATCTCTAAATCTTCAAACAACCTTGCTATTCCGATTGGGACAGGAAAACAAAGGCACAAAGGAAAGGAAACTTGCCCTAATTGACACAGGTAGA